CTGCCATAACCAGAAGGAAGGAAAAACCTGCAATTCAGCTCAACAGTGAGTCCAGGCCACAGCGACTCTGCCCTGCATGCTCTGAAGCTGTGAGTTTGCCTGTTCGCAGCAGGTTTGCAGGCTTAGGATGGTCCTTGCTAGGTTTCTTTCTTAGTGAGCGTGGCCTCCGAGCCCTGGCCTGAGAAGCAGAACACTGTCCTTAATTCACCCTTTGGAACCGTCACGCACCACCGCAGCTGTGCATCTGGCTCCTGACACACCAACGGCCGCTGTAAGACACAGAGGTCACGGGCACAGGTCCAGAGCACCCCGCAGGGGTCTGTGACTCAGCCCCCCACTGATTATCAGTGTGACTTCAACACAGTTTATTCCAGCCTTTCTGTGCCTCAGTTTCCTTCTCTGTAACAAGGGGCGGGTATCAGTGCATATTTTATTGGACCTTGGCGAGGATGAGCTGAGTCCATGCAGGCGCGGCATTCGATGTGCGCTTGGCACATAGTAAGAGCTCAGTAAACGGGAGTATTATTGCTGCTTCCCTGGGATGGTTGGAGGAAGGATGATTAAAATAAACGAAACACATCAAGCTCTCTGTGGCTGGGTCCTCCTCGGCGCGTGCATACGCTACATTATCTCACAGATGGCTCATGATGAGCGTGACTCGGTGCTTTGCAGGAGCTGAGCCATTCTGCGATATCCTTTCCTCCAGGGCTTTGGAGCCGGGTGGGTAGAAAAGGCAGCACTCGAAGCCCATGGGCTGCCGTGCAGCAGCGGGAGGGACCAGGAGCCCATGGGTAACGTGGGCAGGGAGCAGGTGCTTTACAAGATGCCATAAAATATAGAGGTGCTTAGAGCTGCTTCAAGGCTGGCTTTGACACCGGTTTCTGGCAATCACAAGATGGCAATGCTAGAGTTTTGTTTTGTTTTTAAGTGAAAAGGAAGTTTTACATCAGCCCCAGACACACCTTGTCAGTACGGTTGTCACAGGGGACATTGCTCGCTGGCCCTGCAGCAATCCCACCTCCCCGGGATAACCACTGCAGCCACACTGACCACGAAGCAGAGGACGCTGGGTTTTGTTTCAGTTAAACATTCTCCCCCTTGGCAGAGACCAGGATGAAGGCATCTGGCTGAGAGACCGTGGCCAAGTTGTGCAAAACCAATTCCGGTTCCGTCGAGTTCTTCACACAGGCTTGAACACGGTCGGTGTGGAAAGGGCGTGAGCGTGTGTGTGTGCTCTTTGAGAAACCGATGCGATTACGGCTGGCTTTGGGCATGGAGGGACAGCGCTTGTGGGTGCTGAGGATTAGCGGCGACAGCTGCCGTCCCTGCCAGTCCAGGAGACGCCAGGCGGGCAGTGTTTACCGCGTGCGTCTGCACAGCTCGGAGGGGGAGGCATTCCTGGCGCCTCAAGGAAGCCTGCGCCTGGGTAAGTGGGTGTTTTCCTGGGGGCAGGTAGCAAGGAGCTGGTGGGGAAGCAGAGAAGGAGGGATCCGAGGAGGGGAAAGGTGGGCTGCATCTATGGTCTGAGGGGTGTGGGGCTCAGCCCTTCCACCACAGGCGTCTGCATTTGAGCTGCTTTGGGGGTGAGAAGACCACCTTCCACCTGGACAAGGGCTCACGGGGTGTCTTCTTTGTGGCTCTTCTATAAAAGAAATTGGAAATGTCCTGGGTGCCTCTCATCTGAGAACGTCACTCACTCGGGGTTCACCATCTCAGGGGTTCACCATCTCAGTGCACCAGGACGCCGCAGGAGGGGCCCTTGGTGTAGGCTTTTCTCATTTTCATGCCTTGTGGGGAGCAAATCTGGCAGAGGGTGTCGTCTGAAGGACTCTGAGGTGGGTCAAGAGAGCTGATGTACGTACAGCTCCTGTGTCTGGGCCCGGCCAGGGTGGGGCCGGAGAGCTGAGGATGCGTAGGGACCACCTGGCGCGTGATCATCCATTTCTATGGATTATCTCCTCAGTCTATTGCTTTGCTGGCTGGTTTCACTACACTTTTAGTAATTTGGTTTTACCTCTTAAAGCCAACTAGTTCGAGAGGAAGACAATGCCTTGCATTGCTCCTTGGATCAAAAAATTAGCATAATGTACAAGAAATTAAGTTTTTACAGAGAACGTTGATTTATAAAGCTGTCTAGGTCCAGGTGTATCGTCACAGGCCAAGTCTGCACAGACTGTGTCGCGCTCACAAGTCCGCTTTCCATCCATCACTGGCCATGGACTGGACGGCTTTTGCCCAGTTTACCCTCCCCCACCCTCTGGTAACCACCATTTTGTTCTTATAGTTTACGAGTTTTTGTGTTGTCCAGTCATTTGCTTCTTTATCTACCACATAGAAGAGAAATCATACAGTAGTTGTCCTTTTTTGACTTGTTTCACTTACCATGCTGTTGCAAGTGGCAGGATTTCATGTTTTTTTAAATAGTTGCGTGGCATTGCACTGTGAATATACCCTGCGTCTTCCTGTCCACACATCGGTCACGGGCTGTTTCCAACTCCTGGCCTTGTGAACACCGCTGGGGTGAGCAGGGAGGAGCACATACCTCTTTGACTCATGTTTGCATATCTGCAGACAAATACCCAGCAGTGAGGGGTGGGGGAGTAGCAGAACTTTTGAAATAAAGCAAACTATGAAAACAAACACACATAAAACCATGTTTAAAAATGCCCTTGTGTCCTGAATATTTATTCAGGAAGCTTTTCCACCTGTCTTGCTTGTTCTCACTTTATTTTCACCTGTGACCTTCTTTTGCACAGTCAACTTTTCATTCTTTCTGTTGATGAACACTAGTACTGGCCAATAAAGATGGAGTTACATGGTAGTGTTATGTTTTTTAACACTAATTATTTTCTGCTATTCCTGAGCCTATTATTTATTTATTTAGTGAGTATTCTTTTTTTTTAAAAGATTTATTTATTTATACAAGACCCGGAGTACAGGCCAGATGCATGGGAGGGTGAGAGGATTCACCAGAGACAGAGCAGGGAGCAGAACAGGCAGAATGACTGAAATACACTGCTGAGGGGAGCAGTGGGTGAGGCAGAAGAGGTCTGCCGCGCCATGTGGGACCCTTGCCTGCCGGCCGGGATCAAACCCACACCACAGAGGCTGCGAACAGCTTCACAGTGCGGCGCTCAACCGCCTGCGCCACCAGGGAGGCCCTTAGTGAGTATTCTTAACTAGATATGGAATTGGATCACTTGGGTGTAAACTTTTCTGTTCATCTTGTGGGGAAAAGTAGGGACGTAAATAAATCAACTAACAGGATACAGGACAAGGAGCTATCAAAGCTTTGCAAATTCAACAATCGCCTCTAAATAATTAATAGTTGGCCGGAGTTCTGTGGCAGTGAACTTGTAATTGGCAATTTCCAATGGAGGCCCATGTGCCTCTGCCACCATATTGGAATATCAGTGTCTCCTTTGGAGATCAGGTATCTTAGAAGGAGTCATATGATGATACAAACATTTTCTGGTCTTATTTCTTCAACTTTCTTTCTTTCTTTCTTTTTAAAGGGCACTAGTATGCAACGGTCAATAATCTACAGAGCATCCCTTTTTAAAAAAAAAAAAAGATTGATTTATGTATACAAGAGCCAGGGTACAGGCCAGAGGTGTGGGGGGTGAGAGGATTCACCAAAGACAGAGCAGGGAGCAGAACAGGCAGACTGACTGAAATACGCTGCTGAGGGGAGCAGCGGGAGAGTCAGGAGAGGTCTGCTGCGCCATGTGGGCTGCTCCCTGGTAGGCCGGGGATTGAACTCGTGCTGCAGTGGCCGCGGACAGCCTCACAGGTTGCATCTTAACCCCTCATAGTCTGGGCTTGCGCCGCCTTCTCTCTGGAGTCCTGCTCCTCCGCCTTTTCCCAGGGCGCCCACGCGCGCAGGGTCCCAGCCTCAGGACCCCGGGACCCACCCCGTCACCATCCTCCCCAGCAGGTCTCCTGCTCACCAGGTGACACAGTTGCAGGTGCCTGGCGAGACCTTGAGAGACCCCAGAGCCCCAGGTGCAGGCTCCAAGTTGTGCCTGGGCTTGCCCCGTTCAAGTTTGGCTTAATTCTAAGAAACAATCAAGTGTCAGAGCTGGAGGACTTATTTCCTGGTTGTAATTATGCACTTCGAAATTTGTTATGATTGATATACAATAGCATCTCGTTTGTAATTATTTTTTAAATTGTGACTGAATTTGTCTTAATTTTTATTTATGTATTTGGTAATTTAGGGTTTGGTCACTTTTTGTTGATTTACCATAACTCAATTTGTCTGTTTTATAGCTTACAGATACTTTTTTTTTAGTTTATCATTTACCTTCCAATTTCTTCTGTATTCAGAATTTAAACAATCATCTTTTCCTTTGTGGTTATTAGGTTTTCCTTAGAGAGACACTCCTGATGCTAATATATATATATATATATATATATATATATATATGTATGCATGTATGTACATATGTATGTATGTATGTATGTATGTTTTAAATCCCAAAAAACCAAACCATTGTTTCTACTTCTTTTGTATTGCATTTTTATTTTTATTTTTTTATTTATACAAGAACCAGGGTACAGGGCAGAGGTGGGGGGTTGGTGAGAGGATTCACCAGAGACAGAGTGGGGAACAGAACAGGCAGACTGACGAAATACACTGCTGAGGGGAGCAGCGGGCAAGACAAGAGAGGTCTACTCTCCATGTGGGTTGCTCCGAGGCCGGCGGGGATCGAACCGGCACTGCGGAGGCTGCAGACAGCTTCACAGCGCTGCGCTCAACCACCTGTGCCACCAGGGAGGCCCTGTTGCATTTTTACATAACTTTGATAAAAATGGAATTATTTGGGGTTGTGAAAATAACACATCAAATGCCCCACTCTCACCCCCACCCCCATGAACTGTTCACTTCTTAGGGTTGGTCTTAGCTGTCAGTTCACCTTAGTTTAGTTTCTAGGCCTTTATAAAATCACAGCCAGGGTATATCCAGCATCTCACCTGGACGCTGCTTTCTGTTGCAGTGACCATCAGGAGCAGCCTGGATTTCATGGGATTTCTGCTTCAAGCTAGAAGAGTGTCCCATCACCACGTAGCTGGTGCTTTTGTCTTCATTCCTCCTTACTCCAAACTGATGGCTTATTTTGAAGAGGCTGATGCAGTCACCCACTTGGACAAGTCCAGGAAGAGAAACCTATCACTTGTGTGGAAGGCGCCCGCCCAGCCTGGGGGGATGTCAGGTTCCTGTAAGGAGGCTTGAAGTCTGCTCTTAGCGACAAACTTCTCCCCTCCCCGCTCCATGTTTTTTTGTCTCCTTCCTTCTTCCGGCCACTTGATCACAAAGTCAGGGCTCCTGGGTTGCCCCAACGTAGAGATAACTAAGAAACCACTTGCCCCTAGCTCGCCCCTTTGCTGTTATTCCAGTTGCAGGTGTGTGATTTCTGGCCTCCCTAGGAACCCCGGTGAACCTTGACCTACCTTTCCACGAAATTCTGACTGGCACCCGAAGAGCTGGTGGTGGGTGAGTGGGGAGAGAGCCAAGACAGAGAGGGCCCAAGGCACACAGACACGTGGGCATTGCCTGCAGCCCAGGGAGGTCACTGACCTAAGACTCCATGCCGCAGTCTGTTGTCCATCAAATGGATGCAATAAGATAGCAACTACCTTGTAGGGTGTGTAGGCCCCGCTGGCCAGCGTGCGTCAGCTTACATAGTGCTTAGAACATAGTGCTCACGCAGTGCTGAAGACTAAGTGTTAGTGTGGTGCTGAGGACGGAGTGTACATAGTGCTCCCAACAGAGTGCTCGCGTATTGCTTGGAACAACGTGCTTAGGTGGTGCTTGGAACAGCTGCTGGCGGTAGTAAGCAGGACACAAGCGTCATCCGTACTCAGAATGGGACACTTGCTCTGTCATGCTTTCAGACACTCGTGTTTACCAAAAAAGGAGACTTTCACTTGTGCTTTCTGGAAAGGGAGTGTGTCCTCAGTTTCTTCTCCCCACCCTGGTGGATACAGGAGGGAGCTGTGCCTGAGGATTCCCCCCTGCACTGGGGAGCCCCCAGCCCGCTGTGTTCCTCTTCACCCTCCCCCTGACCCCCACCCCACAATCCCCGGGGCCTTCTGTAGCAGCCAGGGCAGCCGGAGGAGGACCCGGCCCTCGCAGTCTGCGCGTTTGGAGAGGCCAGTGCCCCGAGTGTGGGTGACGCTGGGGGCTGCCCTGGGCTATTGGTTCTCTCCAAGGCAGGGGTGTTGTTCTGAGTCCTTAAATTGTGCGGCTCGTTTTACTTCTCAAAGCACCTTCATGTCAATTTTCAGATTTACTGCGCAGCTGACATGATGACAGAAGTAGTTTAGAAACTCGCCACCGTTCCAGAGAACAGAGCGAGCCCTTGACCGGAAGCCCTCCCCAAGCCGCCCTGCGCCCTCTCCTCCTGGGGTCCTCGGCCACCATGGGGTCCCTCGGCTCGAGTCTAGACCGTGAGCCTTATTTAGCCTTAACTCTCTGGTGGCCTGAGCTAAACTAACCCCATTTCTGTGATTCCCTTCTGTGAAAGCAGGATAAAATCATATTTGCCAACAATCTCCGCCTCGATGAAACTTTGGAGACGGTAAATGAGAGGTTTGTGAAGGTGATTTCTACTGAGGAGAGCCATTAAGTATTCAAAATATTATTTTGAGTATTAATGATTTATCTCTAATTTTCCGTTGAATCTGTAATTGCGATAGAATTGTACCATTGTGTACAGGAGCTGTGAAATTGTCAATTAACAGTGGAATTCGATTAACAATGTACTAGTAATGGCTAATCATCAGGTGAAAGATGAAACCTGGCATCTAAACGGTTCAGGAAGGCCCCTTTTCATCCACAGCAGAATTTTAATTTCTCTTTTTTAGCGAGAGGATTGATTTGTACCATCCTTGCCTATTTCCATTTTGTGCTGCACTTGAGTTTTTATTTTTAAGAAAGAAAGAAGTCACTCAAAGGGTAACGCAAGCTTCTAAGCCTGCATTCATTTAGGCCTTGCTTCTTATTTATTTATTTATTTTTTGGGTCTGTTCTCTCCTTCACATTAGGATGCCCCAAGGTATTATCTAAGGGAAACCAAATCCTCCACTCGCTCTGCTTGCTTTTCCCACTGTGTCTGTGGCCCAGTCATATTTTGTTTACTGGCCGAGGAGGACAGAATCATCTCTGGTGTCTCAGCGAACACACAGCAGAGCTGGTCCTGATGGCCGCGGGGAGCAGGGCCCATGGCGCCAGCCTCCGGACTGTGGCCAGAGGGCATGGAAGACCCGGGCCCAGGTACCGACAGCCTCTGTCTTCACAGCCGCCCGGCATCTTTGTTTTTATAGTTGTTCTCACTTCAGTGCTACTGCAGCTTCCACTTGGGTCCACACCCGCAGTGACCACCTGGCCCGGGGGGCTGCGGTGACAGCCGGGAGAAGGAGGGGCCGCTGCTGCAGGTGTGTTGCAGCAACACGCTTGTCCAGCTCAGCCTCACATATTAAGTTGGGCCCTGGGCTGCAGGAGTTAGCTTCAGTTGACCTGAGCTTGGCTGCAACAGTTAGCTCAGCTGCAAGAACCAAAGCCAGCACACCCTCCTCCAGGCCACATACCCCACCTTCCCAGAACCTCAGCTCTTGTCTTCAGGCCCCTCAAGTCACACAGAGAGCACAAGAAAGAAATGATCTTTTCTCACGGTAGGGAAGTGGCTCTTTGCAGCCAGGCTGGAGAGGGATCAGAAGGGAGGCTGTGTTGATTCTGAGCTGCTCCTGGCCCAGGAACTTCTGAAAAAACGAAAACAGGAATAAAACTACCCAGCTAGGGCCTCCCCGGTGGCACAGCGGTTGAGCGCTGGGTTGCGAAGCTGCCCGCGGCCTCTGCGGCGCCGGTTCAATCCCCGGCTGCTCCCCGGCCACTGGAGGAGGTGGAGGAGGGTCCCACATGGCGCGCAGACCTCTCCTGCCGCCCGCTGCTCCCCTCAGCAGTGTACTTCGGTCCTTCTGCCTGTTCTGCTCCCCGCTCTGGCTCTGGTGAATTCTCTCACCCTCCCGCGCTTCTGACTGTACCCAGTGCTTGTATAAACAAAACAAACAAACAAATAAATAAATAAATAAAACATGCCTCTATTAAAAAAAAAAAAAAAAAAAAACTACCCAGCTAGAGAATGTTTGACCCTGGTGACACAAAATCCATTTTCATTATTTATTTCGAGTGAAGTGCTCTCAACAGATCCCACCCCACAGGCACCGGCTCACGCACAGAAGACTTACTCCCCGTCCCTCGACCCCACGTCTCCTTTTTCTCCCTTTATTCCTGGCTAATCTGTTAACACCAGGATCTGACCTGAATCCTGACTTCGCTCAGCGCTGCAGACCCAGCCCAGACCATACTGTGCGCCTGCATCTCCTCCAGCTCCTCAGCACACTGTGGGTCTGCAGAAAATGTCCAGCCACCACTAGAATTCAGGCAGGAGTGGGAAATTGTCAGGTTTTGCCATGCTCTGTGGTTTGTGTTAGAATTCTTGGTTTTTCACTTCAGTCTTGATGTTTTTGAGTGATGAAGGCATTGAAACTAAGTCTCTCTCACACACACACACACGCACACACACGCACACACACATGCATACACACACACACACACACACTTCAGTCTAATCCGGCTGGAGCTCTGGCCAAAGAAACACCCGCCAACCTTTCTTTGTGCCACCCTGGTCATCATCCAGTCGTTGCCATGGAAACCCTCAGCACAGGTGCGCTGTGCCGGGCCCTGTGCTTCCTGCTTCTCCATCAATGCTTTCATTTCACCTCCACTGCAACTCAGCTGTAGGACTGTTATCTGTCCTGTTTTGCAAAAGACGAAACTGTTGCTCCGGGAGGACTTGCCCAGAGCCAGGAATCAGCAGAGTGGAGAACCAAACCCAGCAGTAATCTGACCCTGCGCCGGTGCCTGTTTGGCCACGCCTGCATGTGCCGTCTCTCAGGCTCTGGAGGTCATGTCGGGAGGAGACGTGGCGTGCAGCAGAGGGTGACCATCCTCGTCACAGCAGAGGCTGAGCCATTGTCGTCACTGGGGAACATACAGCGTTACGTGGCAAGACAATCTAGGCTTTTAAAAATCTTTGATTTGTAGGATTGTACTTTTTTCTAGCAAATTCTGGCAGAGATGAGAAAAAGAATACAGTGGTCCCCATGGTTGTTACATCCTGCTTTGTGGCTCTTAAGAATGCACAAGTCCACAGGACCAGAGGCTAACAGTTCAAAAAGATGGGAGAAACCGAGACCGTGGGTGCTCAGTCGGGGGCAGCTGGTTTTAAGGCGGCGCTTTTGAGTGGCTCACACTGAGGGCCTGTCTAGGCCATATCCATCTCCAGGAGGCTGCCTGTTATTGGAGCTGTTGGCGCTTTTCTGTACCCTCAGTGCCCTCACTCCCTTTGCGGTGTCTGCTTAGCTCCCAGGCCCCTGGACCCTGTGACGTGGCTGCATTCAGAGGCGTCCGCAGCGATTCCCACTGGGGCTGCAGAAAAGGGCAGCTCAGACCCTGTGCCAGCCAGGATTGGGGTGACTGTGGTTCCTGAGAGCACACTGAGCTCCAACCATCTTCACATGCAGCTGCTGTGGTCAGCAAAAGCCAGCGACTCAGCGGGGACAGCAGCCCGGCCCTAGAACTGTCTCTGGAAGTTCCGGGGCCGGAGCAGCTCTTGGGCCTCAGAAGATCCTCTTGGGATGGGCTGACTCCCAGCCCCGGTGCCCGGCACAGGTAATGGCTGGGGTGGGCCACTCTGTGCGGGTGTGTAGGCCAAACACAGGGGGGCTGAGTTAACTCGTTAACTTCCAGAATTCTGGCAGAAAAAAGATCCCCACCAGGCTTATTCTAAAGTGCACGAGAAACCCCCATTGTAGAAGGTCAGGATTGGGGTGATACCAGCTGGGGCTTCTCTCTCTGGTGGGGCGAGGTCTCTGACCTACTGCTGTAAATAAAATAGAATAAAAAGAGACCGCTTATGTTCTAGATTTATCCATTTATAATATATATTGTTTTAAAAAATAGTAAGTACAGCTGGGGAGTCTTGGTTGGCATTTGTCCTCTCCCCCCTTCAACCTCCAGGTCCAAACTCAGATTCGTTCCAAGAACATCTGATTTGATCAGTGTACACAGCAGTCGTGGGAAAAGTTCTTTTAGATCCAAACATTTAGTGACCTTTTCCTAGCACTTCTGTTCTTCCTTTGAGGACTCAGAATAATCCAAGTTTCGATTTGTCAGACACTTGCCTGCCCTCAGGGAGGGACGAACAGGTAGCCCGGCAAGGTGCTCGGGTGAAGGGGCGGCTGGTGTTTGGACCCAGGAGTCAGACACTCCAGGCCGGGACACCCACCAGCTGTTGCGGGAGCAGCCGAGCGAGAGAGGAGGAGCCGCACACTGCCTGCCAGACACGTCCAGCTTCTCCACTAGGCTCAGTGGCTCCCACGTTATCAGCAGTTGTAGAAATGGATGGCTTTAGTGATTCGTTTCCCACTTCGCCTCTGCTCCCGCTCCGCGCCTTCCCTTCACAGCAGCGGCCTTCCTGGGAACACCATTTTCAGACCCAGAGGTTAACTCGATGGGCGATAAAAATTATACATCCCCATGACTTATTTTTCCTCTGAAGTCTTAAAAGGAGCAGAAAATAAAGCATGGACACTATTCTTGCTCAAATTTATCAGCACCCACAGCAAGAGGAAGCGGTCTTTAAGGGTGTAGCACAACAAGACGGCAAAGCTCTAAGGACCTAAGTTCATTCTTGCACAGGCCTCCGGGCGCCCTCTGGGGCTTCCATTAGCCACCCTGTCCTGAGGGCATATTCCTCTGCCAGAGTCCTACTCTGAGCTCTTTTTTTTTTAGTGTTTAGTATATTTTATTTTATATAATTCTTACATCATTTTTCATTTTTGCACAATGTACGCATTTTCATTTTGGTTATACTCCCCATACAATTGCACCCCCCTTATTTTAACCCTAATCCCTCCTCTCCCCCACCCCTCAACCCCCCACCCCGTAGTGTGTCTCTGGCTTATAGTTGTTTGTTGATTTTGATTTTCACTTTCTTATAGTCATTCATTTTCCTGGTCCCTTATTTAAGTTTTCTAGATTCCTGCTATGAGTGAGACCATCCGGTATTTTTCTTTTTCTTTCTGGCTTATTTTGCTGAGCATGATCCCTTCCAGCGCCATCCATGTGAGTGTTTTGTTTTTTTTTTAAAACAGTTTATTTTTATTTGCAGCGACGAGACAGGAGGGGTCTGCTGCGCCATGTGGGATTCTCCCTGACCGGCTGGGATCGAACTTGCGCCGCAGAGGCTGCGGACAGCTTCACAGCGTGGCGCTCAACCCGCTGCACCACCGGGGAGGCCCCATGTGAGCTCTTTTAAGAGCAGGTACAAGGCTGGGTTTTCAGCTGCTGCCTGGAGTTGTTTAAAGAACACAGGTTAACTGCAAAGTTCTGGGGCGCCTTGGTGGGGGAGAACAGCCCCTTTGACTTCTCTTTTTCCCTTTGCTTTTCCAGAACAAGATGGAGGTCGGGGCTGATTCCTCCTCTGTACGCAGCCCATCCTGCCCAGCGCCAGGTCTCTGAAGAGCGCACCCCAGGAGATGGGGAGGGGCAGCCAGCCCAGCTCCTGTCTCCACCCCTCTGTCACCTTTGGGCCACCCACTGCAGGAGGCCGGTCAGTGCACAGGGGCTGAGAGTGGGACAGGGAAGCTGGGAGGGTGGGACAGGGTACTCCCACCCCCCAAAGCCCAAACCCAGGCCTGAGCCTGGGCAACAGGTGCGCCTTTGGGCATCCAGCTTGCTAGTCCCCAGCTGGGCGTACTGCTTTGCCTTGCGGCCACCTTGGGCACAGCCCTGACCGCTGGCCTGTGCTCCCTTACACCCAGCACTGCACAGGTGCAGAGGAGCGTCAGGCCCACCTGCCTGAGATGCTGACCCAGTGGCCCAGGGGGCCAGAGGGTGCTGGCCAGAAACTGGGGGAGAAGAGGTTTGTTTGGGTTGAAGCGGAATCCAACTGGATCCCTCCCTCTGTGGGTATTAAGAAAGCCATCCTCTGAGGGGACGGGGTACCTGCGGCCCTGGGGAGGCTCGGGCAGCACAGGCTGATGAATCGCTGATGAGAACAGGGGCGCACTGTGTCCCCCCTAGGAGTGGCAGCAGGAGGAAGCGGGGAAAGGATGGTTTTATCAACAGAGGGAGTTCTTCCCCCACTTTGTTGTCTTAACATCTGAAATGTAGCTGTTTTCTTTTTTCTTTTAGCAATTAGACGTTCTGTTTGAAGAGTTAAACCCAACACAATGAATATTGTATAACCTGCTCATTAATTAGACTCCCGTGGCCGCTAAGCTTCCTCCTTTGCCTTAAGGAACCCACAGAAATAGAAACTCTGTCCCTCCTCACCGTGTCAGCTCATCTCCTCTAAGTCTGAAAAAAAAAAGGCACGTTGAGGTGGTGTCTCTTGCAAGAAAAAGAGCCACGCTCTCTCTCTCCACATTGCCTCAAAAGGAGTTTTGTTTTCAAACCGAGAATTCAAAAGTGCTTCTGGTTCAGCAGACCAGGTAATGTAGGAAGCCTGGCAGATCAGCAAATGGGTCCGAACAAGGGTGTATTAGAGACCCAGTGAACACAGTTGTGGCGACCACAGCACCAGCACCAGACCTCAAGCACCAGAGTGGGGGAGTGAGCCCCTCATGGGGAATGAATAGGCCTGGCGTTTGCCCTGTAGGAGGCGTCTGGTCCCTGCAGCCAGCAGCCATTTTGCCTTTTGCCAAAGTTCAGGCTGCAGAAACAAATGTTACCACAGCTGGAAGAGCAGCCCCTGCTTGACTTTTCAGGGGATGGCAGGAAGATGCACCATGGATGAGCCAGTAGACTCCAGTGACTTGAGGAACACCCCTTTGATTCAGAACCCCAGGGTTGGCTCTAACTCTTGTATCTGTTAACCTAACACAACACTGGAATGAGCTGCCTTTTCAGAGGTGAACCTATTACAGAGACATGGTCCATGTTAGGGCAGAAACAAAATCCACTATAAATTGTGAGGTGATAATTTATTGGACGCCTAAATCGTGCAAGCACTCGCTCTTTTGGGCTCTTTGAAGATCACATGCATGTTCAATAGTTAGCTGTAACTCACAACTAGCTAGCTGACGTGCCGTTGCTACTTACCTCATCCTGCAGCTGCAACATTATCTTTAATTTTTATTTTTCACCTATGGCATCTGATTTTTTAAAATAAAATGTCATGGTTTATCATACATGTACATGCCTCACCACAGCCACCACCAACTAGTCCCACTATCCAATTCTTATCTTGAATTCTAGTTCATTTAGAGAAATGCTATGACACCCCCCCAAAAAAAAGAACCAAACTACTATTCCCGTTCCACCTGCTCCCCCATAGCTCCTTCTTCCCCAGCCCAGAAAATGGGAGGGGCACCCCGCCAGTTTGTCACCATTCTTCCCGCATCTTCAGGGTCAGACACACTTGCAGAGACATTCTGAGTCAACCCTTTGTTTGTCAAGGGCAGCTGGAGTCCATGGGTTTGACTTGAGGAAATGAACACGCTCCTGTTAACCGTGATCTTGAAGGTCCTCTGAGCCCAGTTCAGAGAAGCCCCTGAGGGGAGTGAGTAGGAATTGTTAACTCAACCTGCAGCACTTATTAAAGTACAAAGCCAACACACATTACAAAAAGGCAAAAGACTCAAATGTAACATCTTAAAATAGCATTTTTGTTTGTTTTGTAGGAACAGCTAGTTACAGAATTGTTCAGCAAATCATTTCTTGGAGGAAAAAGAGGTTTGGAGCTAAACACACATTTAAGGGAAAACAACAGAAAAACAATTGCCAAGAAACCTTAGCAATTGGTTATTTAATAACCACAGATCAAGGATGGGGGAGAGTCTTAACCTTTTTACGTTCAGAAACTATTTCTGATATTTCTAATTAGTATCCCTCCTTAGGAACAACCATTTTGGTAAATCACAACTTAAGGCTGAACTATCTCACTGTCTGGCTGTCTGAACTAATTTGCTGTTACAATATTTGTTTCCTTAAAAAAAAAAAAGGCTAATTAACAACAACAAAGTGGGTCAACAAAGTGGTAAATATTTAAACAAGTGTCACATTTTATTTGAAAAGTTATTTGGGAAGGGAATAAGATAGCTCACCTCTCCCTGTTTTGCACTTCCAGTATTAATCTGTGATTCCAGCTTTTCTGGAATGCACACTCTGTGATTTGAATTTATTTCATCCAACCTACCCCCCTCTTTTACAAGTAGTCTGTGGCAAAGAATTTCTTTTACGCAAGTAAAACTGATACTGGGCAAAACCTCAGGCACCAGAACTGCTATTGGACGAAAACAGGGGGTGCTCCAGGACCTCAAACTGTAACGGAGAAACCCATATACCCTGTTCTAAGGGTTTGTGCCACCCAGGAGCATAAAAGCAAAGTAATCAAAACCAAGTGTGCGCGAAGATATTTAACTGGTGAGATGCTCAAAGGTAGTAAGAGAGTGGGAGAGTAGAAGAGAGAAGAATTTCAAAATATAGACCCCCGATCAAATACCAAATTCAACCATTCTCTGGTGGGCACCAGTTCAGCCAAACAAGCAAGGCTCAAGAGAAGTGCTGCCAGGGGAAGGAATAATCCAAGGCATCTCCTGGCAGGAAACACAAGTAAGAGGTTAGGCAGGACGCAGAGTACTAGGAGAGAGCAAAAGTTCAGAAGATACTGCCCAGGCTGAGTCTGCCCGAGGGCCAGAATGGCTGCTGCTGTATCGAGCCAACTGCCAGAGCACTAACGTTGCAAAAGAGAGGAAAGACCCAGAGAAGCATCTGCCCACATGGCTTCTGGCCCTCTCCCCAGTTCAACATGGCCACCCAGCTCCTGCCTCCTTCCCAGCAGCCCCCCACCCAGGAAGTCCAGTTCAAGGCCTGCGGGGAGTGCCAATGCTGAGTGCCCAGATATATGCAAAGTCGGAACTGTTGCTTACTGCGGAGGCTGTTCCCTCATTTCGGTCTTCCTGCTGGGCCGCTGGCCCTGGGACTGCCTCCTCTAACAAACTGAATTTACACGTTTTTTAATTTTTTTAATTTTATTTTTTTAAGATTTATTTATTTTTATACAAGAACTGGGGCACAGGCCAGAGACATGGGAGGGTGAGAGAATTCACCAGAGACAGAGCAGGGAGCAGAACAGGCAGATCTACTGAAATACACTGCTGAGGGGAGCAGCGGGTGAGGCAGGAGAGGTCTGCTGCGCCATGTGGGAATCTCCCTGGCAAGCCGGGAATCGAACCTGCACTGCGGAGGCTTCGGACAGCTTCACAGTGCTGCGCTCAACCCACTGTGCCACCGGAGAGGCCCTGCACATTTTTTTAATGGCGGTAGGTATAACTGACCTATAACTATATTAGTTTCGAGTGTCCAACATACAACAAATACTGGACATTTACATAGCAGACATTTTAATAATGTAAAATACAAAAGCTAGCGGACATTAATAAACTAAACACTGTGAGGGCCCTGAGGTTAAGAGGGAGGGCCAAGGGCAAGAGAACGAGGGAATACAAGAGATGGTGGTGAGGAAAAAATAAAGAAAATAAAAAATAAATATTGGAAATAACTCAGTGGCTTTTGAATTTTTATGTTTGCCAATTAGGTGCAAAAATAAAAGCTTTTCCCTCTGGTTGAAATTTGAGGAACTCCCCCCCACATCCAGCCCGATTCTCCACCTCGCTGTGAGATCCCAGCCCTGCCCGAGAATTTAGGGCTTCAATAAGCGCAGATTAAAAATTGCTCACAACATGGCGAACAAGGTCACAGTCAAACAAGCCTTGAGTCTGTGAGGGGGTGGTCCTCAGATCCCTCCCTCCCGTCCTGACTTCCAGCCCACTTTTCTTTCCACCACGCTTGCACCATCACTTATTTTCTCGGAGCATTTTGTGTGCTAGAGTGCCTGGGTTCCAGCAGAGCTCTGGCCTGAAGTGATGAATCCACAGCTGCCATTAAAACTTGTGACAAGAAGGGGCTGGGAACCTGGCCACCCATGGAAAGCTGGCACAAGACATGCTGGCAGGCTGGGGTGGGACCCCAAGGTGAGAAAGACATGACAGGGGAGATGAAGCCAAAGGACCTGGGTAGGATGGGCGCTGGCCGTCATCACCCCCACCCTCCAGCCTAGAGCCTCCATTTGGTTTCCAGCCACCATCTTGAATTCACCATCCTCCTTCCACTGGGCTCGGCATTTTCCTTCTTTCTAACAGCACTTAGGAGAATCTTCCCCATCAGCTGATGCTAGACGGCTTCTGCAAAGTGTTTTTTACTTTAGAGGCAAGCGGCTGCCTAGCAATACATTCCATTGGACATTAAAGAATGTATTTCTTGATTTATAGTCCGGCTAGGCAGGGTTGTCTGAACAGCATGGAACCAATGGGGGTATCCATTTTGACGAATGATTAATTATTATATCTAAAGTGATGTTTTCCTATCAACTGATAGGCTAGAAAAATAAACTACAGCTTGCTAGGTTAGCACCACGGGTCACAGATGTTGCCTCCACATTTTCAGATTATATTATCCATTACAGATGGCACCTTCTCGTTTAGGAACATAATTTGTTGTTCTCTCAGACCAAAAAAAAAAAAAACAAAAAAAAAACCTGACATTTCACATGCAAGTCAAAGATTAGAATCACTGCACAGGACCGCATGTGGAAGTACATTAGGCTGTGGTGTCCCGCGTCAAGGACACACGAGGCTGGCGCCCCGAGAGATGTAGGAGGCAGTGACTTCTGCTCTTTATTATGCAAATGGGCAGCCCGAGAGCCAGGCTGTTTAACCTCATCAGGGGAAATGTCACTGATCATTTCAAGCTCCCGATGTAGCACAAGCATTAGTACCATTATGCTATTATTGTTATTTCTAGGCCGCAGGGAAGCCCCCACCTCTGATGACGCTTTCCCAGCCCCTCTGGGGTGGAGAATCAACTCCTCCTTGACAGCACAAAGTGAAGGAAAATAACCAAGTCTATGCTCACTCTTTAATGTCTATGG